ACAAGGGCATTAAGGGATTGCAAGGGATTACATCCCCCAAGGTATACATGATGTACCACAACAAGGGCATTAATGGATTGCAGGGGATTACATCAAGGTATACATGATGTACCACAACAAGGGAATTAAGGGATTGCAGGGGATTACATCATTGTATTTCATTGTAGATACATTGTATACATTTCAGGTCAAGTGATCAAAGCTTGGGATATTGGCATAGCTACTATGAAGATAGGGGAAGTATGTGTACTGACATGCAAACCAGAGTATGCATATGGCAAGACAGGTAATATAAATGAAATTAGTTTTTATTTGAAAATTATAATGTAACTATTTTCCTTATCTGGATATTAATTTGTTATGTTATTACTGTACCATATCAGACAATAGTACAATCATTTTCATTATTATACAATAAGTGTTATTTTTCATATAAACATTTGTACCAGACAATACAGTAATAAGCCGACTGTAAGCTATTACACTGTACTAGACAATAGAGTAATAAACCGACTGTAAGCTATTGTACTGTACTAGACAATAGTGCATTAAAATGACTGTAAGCTATTACTCTGTACTAGACAATAGAGTATTAAACCGACTGTAAGCTATTACACTGTACTAGACAATAGTATTAAAACTGTTGTAAGCTATTGTACTGTACTAGACAATAGAGTATTAAACCGACTGTAAGCTATTGTACTGTACTAGACAATAGAGTATTAAACCGACTGTAAGCTATTGCACTGTACTAGACAATAGTATTAAACCGACTGTGAGCTATTGTACTGTACTAGACAGTAGTATTAAAACTGTTGTAAGCTATAGCACTGTACTAGACAATAGTATTAAAACTGTTGTAAGCTATTGCACTGCACTAGACAATAGTATTAAAACTGTTGTAAGCTATTGTACTGTACTAGACAATAGTATTAAAACTGTTGTAAGCTATTGTACTGTACTAGACAATAGTATTAACTGTTGTAAGCTATTGTACTGTACCAGACAATAGAGCATTAAACCGAATGTAAGCTATTACTCTGTACTAGACAATAGTATTAAAATGACTGTAAGCTATTGCACTGTACCAGACAATAGTATTAAAACTGTTGTAAGCTATTGCACTGTACTAGACAATAGTATTAAAACTGTTGTAAGCTATTGCACTGTACTAGACAATAGTATTAAAACTGTTGTAAGCTATTGTACTGTACTAGACAATAGTATTAAAACTGTTGTAAGCTATTGCACTGTACTAGACAATAGTATTAAAACTGTTGTAAGCTATTGTACTGTACTAGACAATAGTATTAAAACTGTTGTAAGCTATTGTACTGTACTAGACAATAGTATTAAAACTGTTGTAAGCTATTGTACTGTACTAGACAATAGTATTAAAACTGTTGTAAGCTATTGTACTGTACCAGACAATAGTATTAAAATGACTGTAAACTATTGCACTGTACTAGACAATAGTATTAAAACTGTTGTAAGCTATTGTACTGTACTAGACAATAGTATTAAAATGACTGTAAGCTATTGTACTGTACCAGTAGTCAGCTTTAGGACATAAGGTATAGCATAATAATAATAAATAACTCCCTACAGTACAATTTAGTAAATTGTTCAATGTTATTCTATTCAGCTCAAAGGAGGATACCAGCTAACTCTACACTGGTGTTTGAAGTGGAATTGTTCTCATTTCAAGGAGATGATTTGACAATTAATAAAGATAAAGGTATTCTGAGAAGAATTGTACAGGCTGGAGAAGGAGTGGATACTCCAAATGAAGATGCAAATGTTGACGGTAAGACTGGATAGGGAAGGTGTGTGTATCACCAGTGTACCAAGTGTAGTCTCAATGTTTGGACTACTTTCATTTAATTTAACACCTAACAAGTCAAGACCCTCACTAGAATTTAAAAATCCTGTTTGTCAATTCCTCAATGATATATGACAACAAATATTATTGTCAAATTTGCAGTGCATCTCACCGGTATTTATGAAGATAGGATATTTGAAGATAGAGATGTACAGTTTGTGATTGGTGAAGGTATGTATGTAGGCATGTATTCTATATGTACAGACCTGTCCTAACTGTCTTTACCCTCCATATGTACAGACCTGTCGTGACTGTCTTTACCCTCCATATGTACAGACCTGTCCTGACTGTCATTACCCTCCATATGTACAGACCTGTCCTGACTGTCATTATCCTCCATATGTACAGACCTGTCCTGACTGTCTTTACCCTCCATATGTACAGACCTGTCCTGACTGTCATTACCCTCCATATGTACAGACCTGTCCTGACTGTCATTACCCTCCATATGTACAGACCTGTCCTGACTGTCATTACCCTCCATATGTACAGACCTGTCCTGACTGTCATTACCCTCCATATGTACAGACCTGTCCTGAATGTCATTACCCTCCATATGTACAGACCTGTCCTGAATGTCATTACCCTCCATATGTACAGACCTGTCCTGACTGTCATTACCCCGCCATATGTACAGACCTGTCCTGACTGTCTTTACCCTCCATATGTACAGACCTGTCCTGACTGTCATTATCCTCCATATGTACAGACCTGTCCTGACTGTCATTACCCTCCATATGTACAGACCTGTCCTGACTGTCTTTACCCTCCATGTGTACAGACCTGTCCTGACTGTCATTACCCTCCATGTGTACAGACCTGTCCTGTCATTACCCTCCATGTGTACAGACCTGTCTTGACTGTCTTTACCCTCCATATGTACAGACCTGTCCTGACTGTCTTTACCCTCCATGTGTACAGACCTGTCC